ATTATAAGAGGGGGGAGAACATTACAGGGAGGGAGGGGGGAGTGGAGAAGGTTATAGGGGAGGGGGGAGAAGATTATAGGGGGGGAGAAGATTACAGGGAGGGAGGGGGAGTGGAGAAGGTTACAGGGAGGGGGGAGAAGAAGAGAAGATTACAGGGGAGAAGAAGAGGAGAACACGGGGAGGGGGGAATAAGAGGAGAACACGGGGGTGGGAGATGAGAACGTAGGGGAGGGAGAGACCACTAAAGGAGGGAGGGGGCGGTGGAGAGACCGCTAAAGGAGGGGGGTGGAGGATAGACCACTAGGGGAGGGTGGGGGGAGAGGAGTGACCACTAATGGAAAGTCGGGGAGAAAAGGAGACCACTAAGGGAGGTGGGGGGGAGAGGAGAGACCACTAAGGGGCGGGGGAGATCTCTAAGGGAGAGCTCTATAGGACAGGGGGCAGGACAGGGAGCTCTTTCACACCACGCGCACACACACAATGCATCCCTATACACACAGAAACACAACATGCTTCCCTTACACACAGAGAAACACACAATGCAACCCTTAGACATAAAGACAATGCATCCTTTGCACACATACACAGAAACACACAATGCATCCCTTACACACATATGCAAACACACACTGCTTCTCTTACACACACACAGAAACACAATGCATCTCTTACACACACTCAACGCACCCCTTACAGACAAACACACAATACATCCCGTATACACAAACACTCACTGCTTTCTATCCCTTACACACAAACACACTGCATCACCTACACAAACTGGTATCCCTATACACTACATTCCATAAGCACACACATTAGATCCTCTACAGTAACACATAACACATCCCCTACACATGCTACTCCCTGTGAGTGGACTCATGTAGGTGGACTTATGGGTGGGCTTTATGGGCATACTCACCATCAGGCCCTGGGGCCCAGACCTTGAGCTATGTAAGCTAGGGCGGCAAAAATCCTTGCACCGGCCCTGGGTTTGATTTCATACTGTGTTTGTGTTTAATTGCTGGGATGCATGCATATACACACATACACCACCACATACAATCATACACAGATATACATACACATTTACACACACATATAAACACACAGATACACATACAGACACACACATGCACATTGACAACAGATACACACCCTGACACATGCATACACACCCTGGCAGATGCATGTACACTTACACATAATAACACAAAGATACACATGTATATTCCCCTCTTATTGTAAAGCACTGGGGAATAAGCTGGCGCCATATAAATACCAACAATAATAATATATGTCAGAATTTGTATATTTTGAGCCACCCTCCTGTTAACATACATTTTTATGTGCAATAGAGAGGCCTGTTTGGAGTCCTGCTGCTTGCTCAGTCTGATGGTAGTGTGAGTCCTCTTGTGCCTCCTGTACCTCATATGTGGTTGTTTCTTTAACTAAGAGGAAGTGATCTGAACTCACTTCTTCACATCATCAGAGATGACACTTTTGATGAAGCCAGTTGATGGTGAAACTTTTTTTTTTCCCTGCTAGTCTGGTCTGACATACTGCACTATATTATTTCTACACGTTTATGAGGAAATCCTTTTTAGAGGAAGACCACATGCAGACCTGTGGACTGCATCATATCCTTAGACGGGGATCATTCTTCTCAAGAGTTTAGGTCGGAGCTGCACTTAAGCTCCCAGAAAGTGTGAGTGGATCATTTTTATTTTTCTCATTGTATTTTACATGCTACACTATTAGTTTTCTTTTTATCATTCTATATATCTTAACATATTAGGTGCTACACCACCTTTCTGCTTCTTCCATAACAGATTAAATAAACGGTAACATTACTGAATTAAAAATATGCATGAAGATTGTTTAATTAAATGACAATCGCTTAAAAAAAACGAAAATGATAAGATGTATGTATCAAACATAGTGCAAAACTTTATTAAAATATTATTTCCATTCAAACCTCTGTGGATTTCTAAAATGCATATTTTGTGGAATTTTTTTTGTGCCAGCATAACAAAGCATACATGTATGTGTCTCTGTGACATAACACACACTATAGATGATGAGTGATGAAGACAAAGCAGCAAACCTCTGAATTAATATCTGTAGTCTGCATGGTGGGGGGGAGGGTAATATCGAGTCTTTACTGAATAAACTCTTTCCATTAGTTCTTATAAAGTTACTTCCAGTGTTTACAGTATCAAATTACTTGCATGATTTTCCCCACTGGGATCTATTGTTGTAACCAAATCTGAATGGGAAAAAAATCTGCATGGTCAGCCGGTTCTCCCTGTTTCTTGATGTTGTGGGTAGCCACTTCCTTTGATGAATTTCCTTTGGACTAACCTCTTCATTTTTGGTTTCCATTATTGGCAACTCGAGAAACATGTTTCAAGGGAACACATACACTACTTCCGGATATGTTACTCCACTCTGCATCAAACCATTCATGGATACCACATTTTAATAAAACAAATATTTATTCATTGATACAACGGTAAATATATATTGTGTCCTCAATGTTTCTTTCTACAACCTAGAGTAAACGTTGTGGTGGTTATGTTACTTGCAGTGTACCTTTAAAAACCCCTTAAGGACACATGACATGTGTGACATGTCATGATTCCTTTTTATTCCAGAAGTTTGGTCCTTAAGGAGTTAAATATTCTTTGAAATGCAATGCAACAAAAGAAAACAAAAGTTTATTCTTTTTTTTACCATTAGGCATGCTGTGGATTATGTAAATGTTTATGTAAAATGCCTTAAAGGACCACTATAGTGCCAGGAAAACATACTCGTTTTCCTGGCACTATAGTGCCCTGAGCGTGCCCCCACCCTCAGGGCCCCCCTCCCGCCCGGCTCTAGGGGGTGGAATGGGTTAAATTTACCTCTTTCTCCAGCGCGGGCGGGGGACTCTCCTCCTCCAGATCACTGTCATCGGCTGAATGTGCATGCGCGCATTCAGCCAGTCCATAGGAAAGCATTCTCAATGCTTTCCTATGGACGCTGGCGTCTTCTCACTGTGAAAATCACAGTGAGAAGCACAGAAGTGCCTGTCAATGAGATAGCCACTAGAGGCTGGATTAACCCTATTATAAACATAGCAATTTCTCTGAAACTGCTATGTTTATAGAAGAAAGGGCTAATCCTAGATGGACCTGGCACCCAGACCACTTCATTAAGCTGAAGTGGTCTGGGTGCCTATAGTGGTCCTTTAAGCTGTAACAGTCTCATGGCTGCATATTTAAAATACATTACTAAAAATATCAAAAACATGAGCACTTTTAAAAATGATGAAACAACATACATTCCCCCCAGAGCATTGTCTTTTTGGTGACTGGTCTTCTGTATATGTACATTAATAAATGGTATATAATGATGCTTGTGAGTTTTAAAAAATATATATATATTGTACAGGGCTACCGAATTTTGCTGGTGCTCTATAAGTAATAAAATAATAATAATTATAGGTACTCAGAAAAATACTACTAATAAAATTTAAATGCATGTGTTTAATAATGTTTTAACCTCTGACATAACGCAGGGTCTGGTAGTGTACTTTTACCTGCACATTTGGAAACCTGCAAAATACCAACAAGTGTTTGTACAGCCGACACATCTGCATTCTGACATAAAAATATTTTGAAATATGCATGAACGTTTCACTCAACACTTGATAACCGCTAGTTTCATGCTCTCGGGCTCCTTGTCACATTCCAACTACTGCTCCTTATAGATACATAAAATTTAAACTCTAGTCCTGACCACCTGAGGCCCCCTGCTGGAAATAGAAATAAACACAGACAAATGGTGAAGTATTCAACAATCTTAAAAATTCATTATTTATTGAAATAGTGATGTGTAGGGAAATTTAATCGCCTGAATTTGTGGGGGGACTAAAAATATAGCCCTCTCACCCAACTCCCACTTGGCTCAATTAAACCCTCTTATTCCCAACCTCTCTCTATTTACTTTCTTTCAGGGTCATTTACTTAAGTGAGAATTCAAGGTGAATTTAAAATTAAAGGCCAGTGCATCAAACTGAAATGCATAGCTGACATAGAGAATGTTTGCAGTTTTGCTCGTTTCCTTAAATTTACAATTCACTTTGAATACTCACTTTAAGTAAATAACCCTGTGTGTGTTTTCAATTCGTCTCTTCTATCTATCACTACTTCTTTTGTTTCAGACATTCCAATGTGGGTCCTCTATCAGGCTCCCGATGGTTTAGCCACAAACTCACCAACATCCACCTTACCTTGGTGCAGCAGCCTAGTAGACCATGTACACATGTGAAAACATAAAACCGACAATTGTTCCAAAGCTTTTCAAGCTTGTGCAAGCTAACTGGTTCCTGGCAAATGTAACTTTCAATATTCATCTGGAATAAATAACTGTATGGCATTTCTTAATGTCATAAAGAAGCATTGGGGGTAGTGCGCATGTGTGGCAACTCCCGCTCTGCCTCTACTCATAGAGGTGCATCGATTCACTCTGATTCCAATAGAGGAGTTTCCTAGGTTAATTCCTGCAAAGGTTGCAGAATCAAACTCCCCATAGAGATGTATTGAAGCGTTAAGGAGATGCTGATTGGCACAGTGTGTTTTTTTGCTGCACATGCACACTAGCCAGTGGTGTACTAAGGTGAGGGGGCGAACCGCCCCGGGTGCCAACAGATAGGGTGGTGTCATGACCAGGGCAAGACATGTGTGAGCTGTGTGGCCTCACAGGTTGCCATGGCAGCTGAAGCGCCGGGCGGCCGCCACAGCTCACACAAGCAGAGACCAGCAATGCAGCCACTTCAAAACCGGCCGCACGGAAGGAAAGTGGGGACAGAGCCCATCCGGAGGTTTAGCGGAGCCAAATTGGCTTAACACAGCCCCCAGCCGCCGCTGCTACTGCTGCACATGGAGGATGGAGGGGAAGCAAGGAGTCCCTGCTTCCCCAACTAACAGACTTCAGGGAGGGACTTCAGAGAATCCACTCCTCCTCCAGCCATACTGTCTGTAAGTAAGTGAAAGAGAGAGACACGGTGTGTGTGTGTGTCTGTCTGCCTGTAACTCTGTGTGTGTGACTGTCTGCATGTTAGTGAGGGTCTGTATATGTGAACATCTGCATGTAATTGTGTGTGTGACTGCCTGTAGTTGTCTGTGTGTTAGTGTCTGCCTGTAACTATGTGTGTGAGATTGTATGCCTCTAACTGTGTGTGTGTGTGTGTGTCTGTCTGCCTGTAACTGTGTGTGTGGAAGGTGGGTGCAGGGGTTTTGTAGGAGGGGTGGAGCAGGTAAGGGGTTTTGTAGAAGGGGCAGACAGGGGTTTTACAACGTTACAAAAAAATAATAATTTGTGGGTTTTTTAACATTTGGGGGGTTGCGGGGCCACACACAGGATCCACCCTGGGTGCCAAATGCTCTAGGTACACCCCTGACACTAGCCTCCCATTACAACCATATGGGGAGGCACTGGTTTGGTTGTGATCATCAGGACTGATGATCTAAGCAGGGGAAGCAGGGTGACAGCAGTGAGATGGGGGGCAGAAAAAGTTCTGGGGGGCCAAGTCAATTAAAATAGGTAGGCTAACACTCTAGCAATAGGAATAGATGCTAAATGC